ATAGATCTAGAGAGAGAAAGAGGAGAGAGAAGAGGTAGAGGAAGAAGAAGAAGAAGGTGACCGGAGATAGCTTGGAGGTTGCCGAAATTAGAGAAGAAGACCAAAGAGTATATATAGTTGATTTTCAACCCAAAAATCATAAGACAAGTTCTTTATCTACCTCTTCCCCTTTAAATCTATGATCTCTCCATCACGTACTAGATTTTAGGGATTAAATCAGAGAATTAAATGGATTAATTATATGCATTAATTGAATTGAAGGATTTCGTGCTTATATGTATTTATTCTTTAACTTGATGAATTCTTTGATTTGATGCATAAAACTAGGGGTGCACATGGTTCGGTTCCATACGGTTCCATTTGGAACCGGAACCAAAACCAGAACCGGTCACAACGGTTCCTTAAAAATGGAACTGGAACCGGAACCGGAACCGTTTGTATATGGAACCGAACCGTGAATGATGGTTCGCTTCCACGGAACCGTTGAATGAGGAAGATGATGAAGTTGTGACGATAACGAGAAGACGATGTGTAGTTTTGAGAAAATAAGAGTCCGGAATCACCAATGAACAACTAATCAAAGTTGAACAGAGGATACTGATATAGAAGATGGGAGGAGGTGGCTTCACCAAAGAATAGATGAAAGGTTTTTCACCAGAAATAAAAAGAAAAAGATGGGAGGAGGCGGCTTCACCAAAGAAAAGATGAGAGGTTTTTCATTGGAAAACAAAAAAAGAAAAAAATGGGAGGAGACGGCGGCTCACCAAAGAAGAAGAAGAAGAAAGAAAGAAAGAAAGAAAGATGGGAGTAGGCGGCTTCAGCTTCACCAAAGAAGAGATAAGAGGTTAGGTAGGTTTAAAACTTTACTATTTTGCCTTATTGTTTTGTGGTTTCCAAGAAGTCACGTGGGTGAGGAATCCAATGACTAAAATAGATTCATTTTGACTATAAAATTAAATATATATTTCAGACAAACTTGACACTCGACGGTATGGTTAGCAATATAATATAATTAAATATAATATATATATATATATATATATATATATATATATATATATATATACATACGGTTCTGGTTTTGGCTCGGTTCCACGGGTCTAGAATCGGAACCGTAAGTCACGGTTCCAAAATTTTAAAACCGGGAACGGAATGGGAACTGTGAGAACTTGAACCGAAGCTTCCGGTTCGGTTCGATTCTCACGGTTCCATGGTTCTTTTGTGCACCCCTACATAAAACTTGTTTTAAATTATTTGATCTTATGTATATTCGTTGTCTAAATCATTGGTGATTATATGGGATTTAGAAATCATGTTTTAGGACTCGAATCATGGATTTACAGGCCAAGAACATATTTGTAAATATTGTTCCGCGACTTTGTGCTAAAGCACAAGCTCGAGCACTGGGTTATGCTCGAGCACATATAGGTTTTGCTCGAGCTCTGGGAACCTGTTTTCTCCAGAAGTGTTCCGACTAACCCCGTTTTAAGTATAAATGATCCCAAATATGTTTATAAGTATTGGAACAGTGACATAGGTCTAAAATATATAAATTGGTATTAGACCCTCGTGTTTGATGCTAGATGAAAATGATTAAGTTAATTAATAATTTAATTTAATTTTTTGTGATATTTAATTTGTGTAATTAAATGTAATTGTTAGATTCATTATTATAATCATTTTTTTTTATATACTTATGAATTATGAGCATGATACGTGATTGTAATTATTTGTTTTACTATGATAGTTATGAGTAAATGGTATTATGATTTTAATCATGTTTATATTATATTTATTGTTCTAAATTCGAACTATCATGGTTTATAATTATTGTGCTATTGTTATATATGGCTATGATGAGATTTATTCATGTATGTGATGTGATCATTAAGATAGCTAATAAGCTAGGCTCCTTAATATTTTACACTATTGTTAGATATGGTTTTATTGGATTGATGTGTGACGGGCTGGCTATAACTCAAGACACTTTACTTATGCCATTGTTAGATATGTCTTTATGTATTAATGATGTGTATATATATGTGTGTGTGTGTGTGTGTGTGTGTGTGTGTGTGTGAGCTATAATACAAGCTTAAGGTCTCGGGTTCAATGGTTAAGACTGAGGCGTATATTGCCGGTTTAGATGGATAGCTGGATATAGGAGATGTGTGTACCCTGGTAGAAGGGGATTCTGGACCACCTCGTCTGCGATTTTTCATGAGATACCCACTACACGGTTGAGATTGCCCTATTGTTCAGTGAGAGTCTTAGTGTGTATATATGTATGTATCGACTATGTAAATATAACATAAGTTAAGGTAGGGATGTATTGATTGTTGGTTCTCTGATCGGGTCATAGTAGAGGGAACTTGTTTGTGAGTCTGACCCACTATTTATTTTTCAGGTCCTCGATGATACCACTCTTAGAGTTATTCATGCAGATCAGAGATCGTTCATCTTCACTATTCTGTATCATTGATGAGTGACATTATCTCAGATTTCTGTTACTTCTCAGACTTGGTAGTTATTTATTATTTCAATATACGTTATTTTAGTTATGGGATTTTATTAGGGGTCCTTGGTATATGGATTCTTGAGTTGTACTTTGGAGGTTTATGGTGTAATGGATTAATATAGAGTATTGGTATCAAATGATTTATTAATCATTTATTTTTTAGTTTTCTTTTTAGCATTAGTTATTTATTTATTTATTTTATTCCATCTTGTATTATTTGTTTGTTTATTACCTAATTGTTATTGATATTCTCGGGTGGGTGTGGGCCTGGCTAACCCGCACGCGAAAATTCGGGGGTATACATTTCGCCACTACCATCACCGTCATCACACACACACACACACACACATTTTCTTGTACCCCAACCACCCCAATGCCCGTCATTCTTCATTGTCGTTGCCGGTATACCTTTCGTATTTGATACAGTCTTAATTTGGGATTCAATTTTAAGATTTTGTCCAAATGGGTTAGGGTACAGTTGGAGAATTTTATGAAATTAGGCTCTAATAGTCACTTAATATTAGAGATTATTATATATATAGAGTGTTACAGAATTTTTGTGAAGAAATCTCTATATATAGAGAAAAAGGGAGTGACTTACAAAATTTTGGGAAAGAATGGTTCGAGCACATTGATCAGGAAGAGAGACTGAAATAAATACTGGGAATTTTTGGGAAAAATTGGATTATGAGGTGTTTGGGTATAACAGTTAAAAAAAGCACATACCTTGTGAAGAAGATGAACAGTGAAGATGTGTTGTGGAGAAGATGAACAGTGAAGAATATGTATATATAGAATGGCCTAAGGGAGTGTTTGGTTGTAACAATTAGTGAAGAGGTGTTTAGGTAATAATAATCACAATAAGGGGCATTAGAAGCTTTTCATGTACATAAAGTTATTTTAGTTATTAAATTATACATTGTTTATCATTTGACATCCCACATGGTCCTTTGACGGTAAATTTCGACCGGAAGCCTGCTGATTGGTGTGATTTACAATAAATTTGCATAGTTCAGGGGGTTTCTTACATTTTATTTGTAATTCAAGTGGTTAGTTACAGATTTCCTATTTTTTTTTTATTTTTTTACTCTATATTTAATTCTATACACACGTATTGTAGGTTAAAAATGTACAAATTTTATTTTCTGTTAAATTCCTTTTTTTATGAAATTCATTTTATTCCAAATATAAAAACGAAATCCACTTTTAATTAGAATTTGTTATGAAATAAGGATGGAACAGGAATTTATGAGAACAAAGAGAAAATTAATGACAAGAAAATAAAATGACATACACATATAAACGAGACAAAGATTTACTTGATTTAAATATACCTACATTCGCCAAAAAAAAAAAAAAAAAAAAAAAAACAATATTTCAATATAAAAATAAAAAAATACAAGATAAAGTAGCTCAAACTCAAAATTCAATTTACACCCAAAATCTCTCAATCACTGACTGATGTTACAAACTCACAATACAATTGATGATTTCGAATGCCGAATACCATGAGGCAGCGACTGAGCTTGCCTTCGAAGCACCAACAACTGGGACACAAAATCACCTGCTGTGCAATTCCCATACTGTTTCCTACAGTGAGCAGTAAGTGGCGTTGGTTTGGCCACGTTTTACTCCACTTAATAGATACTAACACTTTGTTTGACAATTGCACCACTATTTATAAGTAATATTTCACCACCATTTTTAAATAACGTCACAGAAGTCTATAAGTAATATCACATAATCTAAAAAGTAACATCATCACCATTTATAAGTATCTTTCACCCTCAAAACGTAGTGATGTTACTTTTTAGATTATGTGATATTACTTTTTGACTTATGTGATGTTACTTATAAATAGCGGTGATGTTACTTTTTAAACTATTTTTACATTTCACCACCATTTATAAGTAACATCACAGAGTCTAAAAAGTAATATCACTATTTGTAAAAGGAAATATCACCACTTTTAATTTCAAATAATAACATAAATGATATGTTGAATCGAGTTATATTTATATGTGATATTACTTTGACTATGTGATGTTACTTATAAATAGTGGTAAAATATTATTTATAAATAGTGATGTAATTGGTCAAACAAGACTTTAGTGTTCGTTAGTTAAAGAATAATGTGACTAAATATGAATCACTTAAATGCATGAGAGCCTCACTGCAGGTGATTCCCGCCCCACAACTGTCACACAAAATATGAATAGCTTGCATATGGCCGAAATTGTTGACCAGCAATGACAGCTTCCGGAAAATTCTTGATGACGCATTGTCCGCGGTCCATTTTTTTTTTTTTTTTTGAAAAGTGAAGATGGTCCACTATTCTTGTGGACCAAGGAACTATGAAATATGGTACAGCTTTGAAATTGATTTCACAATTTCCAAAGGTGGGGTACCACTTGCATACTTGCTCCTCACGGATGATGACGTTGGTTCAAGTAGATAACTTAAATTTGAGCCATATAAATTTAACAGAATTCATTTCCTTTTTCAATACCAATTCCAAATCCTAAAAGATTTGGTTCCAAACCAAGCCTAATTTTACATCCGACGAGTTTGGGAAACCCTAGCTCTAAGAAAAAACTGCCTCTCCCTCTCTCCTTCCGCTTTCTCACTTCGTCGACCTTTCAATTCTACCAGGTAACTGTGAAAATATATCCTTTATCTCTCTATATATCTATTGTATGTATACATAGATACTGCTTTTGCTAGGACTTGAGTTTTGATAATTATAAGTGTTGAGTAATCATTTATTTTCGAATTTCCTATGTTTTATTGGCTTTTGTTTCGCTTAAAGATCTATTTGGCACAAATAATTCCATGTATAAATTTCGTTCTTTGGAACTGAAACAATATGTTGGCTACTTGGGGTCCGTTTGGTGAAGCTGTGCTTGTGAGTTTTGGTAAAAAAAAAAAATTTTTTAAATTGATAATTTTATTTACTATTCTATTTATAATTGAAAAATAATAAAATAACACTTTTAATTTTACCATTTGAGTATAATAAAAAAAAAAAATAATTTACTATTTGAGTTTTATTGAAAAACAATAAAATAATGTTTTATTTACTATTCGGGTATAATTGAAAATGAATAAAATAGCAATTTTATTTTTACTATTGAGAATAATAAAATATTTTTAAAATTTTATTTACTGTTTGAGTATAATTGAAAAATAATAAAATAAAATTTTATTTACTATTTGAGTATAATTGAAAATTAATAAAATAATAATTTAACATTTTTTATTTTACTATTTGAGTATAATAATTTTTTTAAAAAATTTTATTTACCATTTCTCTTATTGTAAAAAATAATAAAATAACATTTCTCTAATTTTGAAAAAAAAGAAAATAACATTTCTCTAATAATGATTTTGAAAAATAATAAAATAACTATTTCAAAACCAAAACTGAAAACCAAAGCTAACATTTGTCGAGTTGAGAATTGTGAAGGAATTATGAAAAGAGTTTTTAAAAGTTTTGAAATATGAAAAGTCAAAATAGAGTAACCAAACGCATTTTGTTGCCTTGTTTAAAAAAAAACAAAAACTGAAAACGTTACGAAACAGGGCCTTAATGTGTAAAGCCAACTTATACCGTTACTTGTTGATATGCAAATCAATTTGCAGGACCATATTTATAGAATAATTTGTTTGGATGGGGCTGGGGGCCATTCTGAAGTCTCTCTTTTTTTTTTTTTTTTTTTTTTTTTAATCTGTGTTCATCAAAAGCATTGTTTGTTAGCATCTATGCAATAATTTTCCTGCTTTTGGAAGCAAAACTGCATTGATTGGGTAGTCATTATAGTGTCCTGTTCTCCAATTTTAGTCCCTTTTTTTATCCCTCTTTCAACATTGGGCACCTGGAAGCAATTGTATTAAGTTGTTTATCTTTTTCTTGTGTAGAAGGGGCTACTTTTAATTTATTTTGAGCAGTAACGATGTGTTCCATAATTTTTTACCAGTAACCACGATCGTTGAATAATGACATTATTTTAAAAACCTGTTGAAAAGTGAGCACGGAGGAAAAATAAGGCCACGTGCATATGGTGAAGTATCTGAGACTATATAACCTGGGATTTGACGATTTCTGCATGAAGTTCCCTTTTGTGATATGAGTTATTATCCTTGATTACTTATGCTCCCCAAGCATTTGACTACATTTTGAAGCTCAGATGGAATATTAGTACTTTGCGGAACTTCTTTTTAAGTGTTCATTGAGAGTTATGACTGGCAGTGGCACGACACAGTCCTCCTTCCAAGTACCTCCTATGAAGTCAATTGAAGATTTTTTTATTTTTTTTTTTTTCCTCCCTTTAAAATACGGAATGATGAATATAAAAGTGTAAGGATGAGAAGATTTTGTAGATTTTCATGCTAGGATGAACGCTAGCAGAATTTTCAAATGTGAAATAAGATTTGGGAGGCAACATCCTCTTAAGGTTGACACCTGGTGCCCAACATAATTCTTGAAGAATGCTTTATGATATTTGATAATATTTTTCGTATATGCCGACGTTGTGAAGCAGTTATTTAGTTCACTCATCAACTAGGTTATTGTTTAACTTGAGGCCTTTGAACCATCTCCTTCTTTAACGATAAACTCTAGGGTGTGCGCGTGTATCACATGCTTATATTTTGTATTTGCCAATGTTGTGAAGTGGTTATTTAGATCACTCGTCAACTAGGGTTATCAGAGCATTGGTTGTTTTTCACTAAATGATTCTCTATTAACTTGAGGCCTCTGAACCAGCTCCTTCCGCCACTATAATCTCAAGGGTGTGTGCGTATAAACTTCTATGTTTATGTATAAACTATCTAGTTTCTATGTGTTTTATATTTGACTTGGCCTACTTGGACGAGAGATACTTATTAAAAAAGGCATGGGAAATGTGAAGGCTGCTTTGCAATTCTTTATATTGCGAAACACAAAAGTGACGAAACATAGCAGTGTCTATCAAATACAATTTCAAGTGTTCATTCCATAACACATCTGTATGGTGTATACTGCCTCAAATTCATAAATTATAATTAGGGGAATTTGTTTATATGAGCTGCAAGTGCTTCAGTGATATTGTGGTCAGGATTAAGATCTGTTCTCTTTTCTGTTTGTACTTTGCAGTCATGGCTGGATTGGCACCAGTGGGTTCTCAATTTGATGCTCGTCAATATGATGCTAGAATTGCTGAGATGTAAGTTTTTTTTTTTTTTCCCCATCCCCCCCCGGGCGGGCGCTTATTCCATAATTTAGTCCTTGTAGTTTTACTCGCAATAATATGGCATTTTTGCGAAAAAGATGTGAATGAGTTGCAAGTATTTCTCATCATATTCCATAATTAACTTATGTAGTTCAGTGTCAATAACATGGCTCTACCTTTTGTTTGTGTAGCCTTTTCTTCTCCTTCCTTCTCTTTTTTCCAGGTTTATCATGCTTACCTTGTGATACTGATGATTTTGGTTTGATGAATTGATGAGATCAGTCTTAGGGCTAATGGAGAAGACATTTTGAGCTTTGAAGCTATGGGATGGCAAGAAAAGATGCTGTGGCTCTTCTATCCTACTGGTAGGGGGTCTCACAACTTGTCTTAGTCTATAATAATTTCACAAACGTAACATTCTGACAATTTTCTTATGATAGCTGCATAAAACCTATTTGTTTCCTCAACTAATGGACTTACCATTTGTGATATTTAGCACCAACATCCTGACTGTCAGATGATCTTAACTGTAGCTTCCTCAGTTTGACTGTTTCCTTGATAAATGGATGGGTCATTTGATTGGTGAAGTTTTTTTAGTCCTACTGTTTCAGTAGCCTACCATAGTTCTTTTGAGGGCGTTAGGGTTTAAAGTTCATGTGAACTAATTTCAGCCATTATACCCATCTGATAGAATGCTGTTATCTGTCTATCTATGCATTTTACAATGTTTGGATCAGGATTGCTGGACATTCATGTTGTATAATATAATAAGTTAATGCGTTCTAATTCTTGTTTATGTTGAGTCTACCTTTTTGCAAAAATGGAGAGTTGATAGTTGGACCTGATTTTTTTTGAAGATTTTATGGGGACCTATGAAATTCAGCAAAGGCCTTCCAATAGAGGAGTTGATGTAATTCAACAAGTACGGTACGGAACTGGAAAAACGGCAACTTTCTGCTCTGGAGTTCAGCAGCAGCTTGATAATCGGTAAGTTGAATGCCAAGCTTTGGTTTTATTGCACCCACTCGTGAACTCGCGCGCACAGCAGCAAACATTAATTTGCTAACAGTAGAGCTGCCCTTTGATATAATATTGAACTGCGGTTGTATCTTTGATCCCTCAGGAAGCTGCAAAAGGGACTAAACAGGAGCAGCCCCAACAGAAAGAAGAGCCAACGTTCCGGGCTTTTTCGGGGAAGAAATACTCGCTGAAGGGTTGATTGGATTCGCTACAATCAATGTCTTTTAAAATTATATTGTTCCCATTCACCTGTAATTTTGCGGGTCAGAATTACAAGGACTACATTGAACTGAGTAACACTAAAGAATGAAACCGTGGGTTGTATCAAAAATGAAGAATGAAATATTTGTTTTGTGAAGTTCATTATTTGCTTACGATTGTCCCTTGCGCACATGCAAAATCTATTGAATTCATTTTCTATATCTATCTGTATATATATATATATATATATATGTTTATGTTTGACTTCTACTTGATGGTATATATTTTGAAAAACTGTCTTTTGACAACCAATATTAACTTCATTGTAATGATTATTGATAGTTGTCGAAAATGTAGACATGCAGTTATATGTAACTTTTTGGTCTTGTTGACTGTGTTTATGGATGTTTTTTCTTATTTTTTTATTTTTAATTTTTAATTTTTTTTTTATTATTATATATGGTGAATGAATATGAAAGGTTGTTTGAGAATAAATTTAAAAATCATGTTGTTGGGCCAAAATTGATTATGTCCTTACTTTAATAGAATAACATTTCCTTGTGGGTAATTCATTCTTTTTTCAATGAATTATATAGTTTTTGAAAATATGATCTATTTCTTTTGCACGTATTGCTTAGCAAAACAAGTTTTAAGGTTCCTTTGGTAGGAAGGAAGAGGGGTGAAAGAAAGATCGGAATGAACGAAGAAACTTCCTATTGTTTGGTTGGAAGAAAAAAAATGAAGGGAATGGAAAAAAAGAAACTTATTTCAAGCCAGGTTGCTTTTGTCATTATGTTGCCCTTCAATGGGTTTATTTGGTCTTCCACGGCCTTCAAGCAAAACGATTTTAATATTTTTACATGTATTTTCTAAGTGGGAATGGAATGCTTATTTCTTTAGTTGGGAAGTGAAATCTTTAGTTGGGAAGTGAAATGGTTTTGATGGAATGATTATTTTTCAAGAATGGTGGGGAGTGGATATTCCATTTTTAAAATTACTTTTCAAACAAAGAAATGAAATTAAAAGTATTCCATCTTTAAAATTACTTTCCAAACAAAAGAATGGAATTAAAAGTATTTCATTTCACTTTATTTCATTTCATTCACACCTACCAAACTAACCCAAGAGTTTAAGTTATCATGCGGATCATATTTTATATTTGTGTTAGTTTTTAATGGCATTTTCTTTTGAGTTTTTACATTTTCAAATGAATAATAACATTTCCTTTTAGTGTCAGTTTATGAATTTATTTATTTGTTCCAAATCTTTGCATCTAAACAAATAAATATATTTTATGAAATTTAACGTAATATATTTCAAACCTAAATTATATGTAACATCTTAACTTACTTGTAACATTTATCATATATTATTTTTATGTGACTTGTATCAATAAAAATATGAATTAAATTCAATATCAAACAAATATGTTTTAGAATGACATAACAATATAAAACATGTTAAATTTATGAATTAATTTCTTTCTTTCCAATCTTTGGAACTACACAAATAAACATATTTTACGAATAACATCATAAATTAAACGTAATATGTTTCAAACCTAAATTATATGTAACATTTTAACTTACTTGAAACATGTATCATAAATTATTTTTATGTGACTTGTATCAATAAAAATATGAATTAAATTGAAGATCAAATCAATATGTTTTAGAATGACAAAACAACGTAAAACTGTAAGATATTTTCTTATATTTGTGAACCATATGATTTGGACACGTATTTCTATTATTTGGTGGTTAAATAAAATAGATATCAGATCAATATTATATTATTTGGTCGACTTATAAATTACTTTTTTGGTAATTAATTATTGGAGAAGTGTTTTATTATTTATTTCTTACTTTGATGGAAAGTGGAATTAAGGTTACTAAAAAGGAAAACTGATCATCTCTCTACTTTTATAAAAATGCATATTCCCATCAATTATGTACGTTAATGAAAACAACACGTATAATGTTTATATGTGTAAAAGGGTAAGAGAGAGAAATCGGTTTCCACACTTTGACTATTACAGTTTAGCATGTTGTTCGTTCCGCAGAAAGGATCTCGACGTTTGCGTTGATCTTTTCGAGTTTTATAATTACAGATCGAGGTATTAATATCTAATTATTTATTTATGCATTATAGATATTATGTGAAAATTATGAAGTTCTAAAATATGGGATTCATGTAAATTTGTGATTAATACTTGACATGAATTATTATAGTTTACATGTGGTATCAGAGCTTATGGTTTAGGAACTCATTATTTTTTACTAAAGTTAGCATAAATAATATATATATAAATTAAAATTAAAATTAAATAATTAAATTTGTTTTGAAATCGTAAGTGCATAATGAATTAGTATGATGGATCAGTTGATCAATTTATTTTGGTTTGCATGATCGATTTTTGAACCTGTAAATTAATTTTCATAAATTGATTTCTTAACGTTGTTGAATTGTTTCATAGTTGAAGTATATGTATGAGTTTGATTTTTATTCCGTGCACGATTAGAATAGCAATTGGAATTGAAATTATTAGTGTTGCTTTTTGCGTAAATCAATGTGATGAATTTTAATGCTAACTATTGGTTTTGTACAAACTTATATATATACCTGTTATCATATATCATTAATTACATATATGATAAATTAATGGTGAATGATTTATTTTATTGTAGAAAATTAAATTTCTGAAATAATTTGTGAGTTTAGAAATTTAATTTAATTTTGTTTGACATCAAATAATTTATTATTTTGTATCCAAACATACATACATATTGGAGAATCAATTTTAAAATGATTCAATTATGATCTTCAAGTCCGAAAATAAAAATAACATATTTTATTATGTATATAAAGTATAAGGATGTTTTTTATTGAATTTTTGGACTATTAAGTTTCTGGAATCGAACCTACCTAAATTTGGATCGATTAGTTTGAGTATATATGTATAATATTAAATGAGTAAATTAATGATTAATTAGTTGCTAACTAATTTAATATTCATATTATGTAAGGGTTAGTAGCTACCAAAGTGGCCTAACCATAATGGTCGATGAATATTAATTTTAGTAGTATATATAACTTAATGATGATTTAATCTCTGTCTAATTTAATATTCATATTATGTGAAAGTTGGTAGCTACCAAAGTGGCCCAATCATAATGATTGATGAATATTAATTTTTATAGTAGACATAATTAATCATAAATTAATTACTATCTAATTTAATATTCATATTATGCAAAGGTTGGTAGCTACCAAAGTAGCCTGACCATAATGGTTGATGAATATTAATTTTAATAGTAAACATAATTGCAATATTTCATGAATTATGATGCTTATTATTTTTTGTGATATTCATGAACATTGAGTTTATTTAATTATGAGAAATAATTCTCCAAAGAGAATTGATTTTTAAGTGATTAAATAAAAATTAAGGGATTGCATGTATTTTTTACTTAGGTAGATATAGGATATCCAAAGGTAACTTATCTGTTTAATTAAATAATGCATCACCAATGAATGTATACATATAAATACAAAATAAGTATCATTATTAGTATTTTATAGTTGTCACCCAAAGGGATACTATAGTTATACATTGTATTTATATTTTTAAGTTATATAAATGTATTGTTAACTCAAAGTATTATTGTTGTGAACATTTTATCATATTATATTTATTTTATTATATCCCTTAATTCGCGTGCTATATCTGTTATTATTCTCAATAAGACTAACTTATTATAATGGAATGAGTAAGTTGGGTTCAAAATTTAGATATGTTAAATCAAGATTTAACATTTTAAATTGAGAAACCTACTGTTATTACTGATAAAAAATAGTGAGGAAGAAAAAATTCTCCATAAAGTTTGGGAGAGATCGAACAGAGTAAGTATTATGGTTATGTGAATAATTGTTTCCCACAGTGATAGTGCTAAGGAATATTTTGACTAGAAGAATGTTTTCGTATTGTAGATAAATATCTAAAACAAAAATTATTAATTTATATTATTACTATGCAAATTTGTTAGTACTCTTACCATGTGTGGGTATGTTCTTAAGATAACTAATATTGCTACAAAATTAAGAACCTTACGAATGATTATGGATGTGAAATTTCTCATTAAATTTATTCTCAATTTATTGTCCACTCAGTATGAGTCATTTCAAATTAAGACAAGTGGAAGTAAATGAATTGACCATTATGTTAATTTAGGAAAAGTCAAGGCTTAAATAGTTGGTAATCATTATGGTTATCTAATTACTCAAGAAACTATAAATAAATTTTGTGAATAAGCTTAAAAAGACATTAAGTGAACAACACCCAAAATTAAAAGATTTAGGTTAATCTACTAAAAGAAATGAATGTAATAATGAAAAAATATCATTAATGTATTGAATGCTTTTAGAAAGATTATATGAAATATAAAGAATGATGCGAAAAAGAATAGTAAGCTTTTGGTTTTTGTATATTTCGAATTACTTATTAAAATTCTTTCTAATACATGATATGTTGACTTAAGTTTTAATGTTTATATTTCTAATAGATGTAAGAATTTCTTATGGCCTAAACCACAAATTCAAATAATAATTTCTTATTTATGACAATTGAGAAAAAGTTTTGTTGAAACCATTGTGACATTATGTTTAATGTTAGACAGTGGATTTTATTTAAATTATGTTAAACTTTTTATGTTTATTCAATTTTCTATAATTTGATTATATTTCAAAACTTTATGTTAATGGTTTTTTATTTAAATTTGATAATAATGTTTATTCAAGAAATTCTAATTTGTGAGTTATCGTATTATTGTTGATGATTTCTGTAAATTCAAACTTGATAGTTTATTTATTAAAAATCTTTGATCTTGCAACATAATGTAAGAATTAAGCGTAACTCAATTAATAGAAAATTTATCTTTATTATGGCATAAAAGACTAGGTCAATATTTAGTGAAATGTTAGAAAAATTAGTAAAGGATGTGATTCTTCTAAATCTAAACTTTACTGATTTTGGTGTGTGTGTGTGTGGATTGTATTAAGGATAAATAAACCAAACACATAAAAAAATGAGCCACAATAAGTACATAACTTCTTAAAATTATTCATACAGACATTTGTAAACTTTCTGATGTTCTATCTTTTGGAGGAGAAAATT